CCAACGTCTTCTCCAACCACTCGGTGGCCAGGGAGAGGTCGCCAAAGCCGTCCATGTTGCCAACGACCATCGTTACGAAGCGCGTGTTCGTCATCTGGCCGTTGGAGGTGGGGGACGCGGTGACCGACGAAGAAGAAGTGCGATTCAACAAGAGCTCCTTGCAACGGCTGTCGATCATAGCCTCCACTGCCTCGCTCGTCAGGGGGGCCTGCCGCATCATGTCCTCCAGCTTGTCTACGCGCAGGTCGGTGCTGATGATTGCCGCCTCCACGTCCTCCATGCGGCCGGACAGGGTCTCGCCGAGGGACGTGACTTGAACCTCTAGCTTGCCGAAGTCGCGGCGCAGGGCGTCCACCACAGATGTCATAGGTGCCAGCTGCTGCTGCAGTAGCTTGGCGATCCCGCCCATCGTCACGGGCTCCGTGTCCATGATGGCGGCTTCGGCACTCGAAAAGTCCGGCTGCCGGATCGGGCTCACGGACCGCCTGTCTTTCACCTTACCCCCGTTGTCCAGCAGGTCGTCGTCGTCCAAGTCGTCCAGGGGGCTACTAAGGCGGGCCCGCTTGTCGACAGGAGTGGCAGGAGAGGCAGGAGTAGCAATGTCCACAACTTCAACTGGCGCTGCAACAGAGGGCGCCCCGCCTAGCACTCCACGCACTGGGGTGCCTGGCTGCCGCGTGCTCGCCGGCATGGCAGGCGTCGGTAAGAGAGTAGAGTAAGTCTGACAATGAGAAGGCCTGAGTATGAGTAAGTCTGGGTATGAGTGAGTCTCAGCATGAGTAAGTCTGAGTATGAGTAGGTCTGAGTATGAGCAGGTCTGAGTATGATAGGTCTGAGTATGAGTAGGTCTGCGTATGAGTAAGTCTGTGTATGAGTAAGTCTGTGTATGAGTAAGTCTGGGTATGAGGAGGAGGAGGAGGAGGAGAAGAAGAAGAGGAAGAAGGAGTAGGAGGCGTCCAAGTAATCCGCCGGCCCCCTTGTGGGGCCACCAGGCTGCGAGGCGCGTGATTCGCAGTTTCCTGTACCAGTTGTAGTTTGTAGTCTCCAGTGTTACAGTTCTGCTTCTTGCTGCTTCCTGTAACTAGTTGACTGATTGCTGGTTACTGTAACTAGTTGATTGACCGCGCGAGGGGGGGGGAGGCCCAAACAGGATCTCTTAGCACCCCCTGGGCGCGTTGTCTGAATTGCTGGGGGGGCTCGAAATCGACACCCCTCACGCAGATCGGCGGGGTCAGGGTCCAAAAACACATGGGATTTGCCACATTTCTGAAATTCGGTGCCACCCCTCACGCAGATCCGCGGAGTCAGGGTCCACACATGAGACACATGTCTGAAATTCGGTGCCACCCCTCACGCAGATCCGCAGGGTCAGGGTCCAAAAACACAGGAGATTTGCCACATTTCTGAAATTCGGTGCCACCCCTCACGCAGATCCGCGGGGTCAGGGTCCAAAAACACATGGGATTTGCCACATTTCTGAAATTCGGTGCCACCCCTCACGCAGATCCGCGGGGTCAGGGTCCAAAAACACATGGGATTTGCCACATTTCTGAAATTCGGTGCCACCCCTCACGCAGATCCGCGGGGTCAGGGTCCAAAAACACAGGGATTTGCCACATTTCTGAAATTCGGTGCCACCCCTCACGCAGATCCGCGGGGTCAGGGTCCAAAAACACAGGGATTTGCCACATTTCTGAAATTCGGTGCCACCCCTCACGCAGATCCGCGGGGTCAGGGTCCAAAAACACAGGGGATTTGCCACATTTCTGAAATTCGAACCCATCACGCACATCCATCGCAAGGCGTGGTAACCCAAACTGCGAGAACTCCCTCGGCCCTTTAATCGCAAGGTGTGGTAACCAAGCCCTTAAACCATACACGTCTTACCAATCGCCAGGTGTGGTAACCCCTCTTGTGATCAGTTGGTTTTGCTGATTGCGACTCGGCTTCGCATGAAGTTTCGATACTGCTTCACGACAGCGCCAAGGCCTCATGACTTAGCTCTTCCATGGCCCATTCTCCGAGAGAGGGGGCCGGCGGCAGGGGGCGAAGCCCTTACGGATAACAAGAACCCCATCTTAGGATATGGGGAAAAATCGAAAGCAGACTTCCCCTGTCTCTTCGGGGCCCCTCTGACAGCTGCTGGGGGTCTCGGGAGGTTCGCAGGACGCATTGGGTATTCCTGGCGCGACCGGGGGCTCTTTGGGGGGCTGGCTTAGAAGTCTGGGCACTCAGTTGCAGGGGAAAATGATTATCAACAAACACATTTATAATTGAAAACAACAAATAAAAACGAAAACAACAAATATCTATACATATAATATATATATATATATATGGCCAGATTGGCTACATGTGGCCTCTCTCGGGGCACTTTCTTTAGACACGTTGTGGCCTCTTGGGGCCGTCCCTAGGTCATCATGGAGAGGACGGTGTCATCCTTGGCAGTCTTGGCGGCCTCTGGGTCCACTCTTGAAAACCTCCTGAGGCCGAGGGAACCCCCCGAAAGCGAGAACAGAATTCCTGGACCCCTTGGGTACAAAGATGCCGTCAAGCGTGCCTGAAGGAAACGGGTCCCAGATCTGCTCCGTCGATTTCGGAGCCCCGGGCCCTGGGACCGCTAGAAAACGAATCAGGATGAAACAGTGGTCCAGGGGAAGGCTCCTTGTTGCTGGGCACATCGGGGAATGGTGGACATGGACATCCGCTCGCCCCAGAAGGCGGGAGGACATCCACATCCACCACTCCTCGGGATCCCAGGGCACGACTCCGCAACAGTGGATGTGGACATATCTTGACCGCGCGAAACTCGGGCCCGCGGGCCCAGTCGCCGACCGTATCCGGCGGGACACTGCTGGCAGCAGTGAACCTGTAGGGCAAACGGTCGCTGAGCAACGGCGGTCACACAGTGGCAGGGCGGGTGGAAAAACGCAACGCTGCCAGGATCGCAGACGAACTCACACCACCACACTCTCCCCCTCTCCCACCTCACCCTCACCCTCCTCCTCATCCTCATCCTCCTCTTCTCCCGTCCCTTGTGCTTCTAAATACCTCCCTTTTGCACCCCCACACTTGTCGGTAGAGCGGGCCGAGCGTTTCGCCTAAGACGTCCTCACCGTATAGGATCCTGAAGCTTGAAATTTGCAACAGGTTCACACATAGCAGGCGAGCCGTTTTAAAGATGTGGCTCTCGTCTGAAACCGGCGTACATTCGTTGTTGCACTCGCCTTAGCGCTAGCCAGATTTCGTTTTCAAAGTTTATCTTAGTCTACGGGTGGAGGGCGGCGACTTTCAAATGTTGCTCCCGCATTAGCGCCGCGCACATTCGACTAAATGATTGCCATTGTTTCAAGGATGAAGTCGGTTCGTTTTCAAGACTTGGCTCTCGCGCTAGCGCCGCGGACATTCGTTTTGAAAGCTTGTAACAACTTTCACGATTCCTATGGTTGAAATCCCAGGAAAGGTGTTCTGGCAAGATGAAAAATTGTCTGGACGCAACAGTCACGTTGATTTGCGGTGATGAAGTCCCAGAAACAATGTTCTGGCACACTCCAGGTTTGTCAGGACGCAACAATCACATGGATTCGCGACGCTGAAGTCCCAGGACTGGTGTTTTGGCACGATGGAAGATTCTCAGACAATTGCCTTCCAATGGGGCGTGTCCCGCAATGAACGTGAATTCTTGTGTGAAGAGGGAAATTGAAGGGTTGATTGCAACATCGTTGATGCGTCTTGGGTTTACGGTTTACACTGGTCCTCCCTCTCCTTCCTCATCCTCCTGCCCATCCTCCAGCTCATTCGCCGCCTCCTGCTCGACGACCTCCTCCAATGTACGCAGTTCCCCCTTTCTGCTTGCGCACGACACGATGGGTCAGGTAGGGGGCTCGAGGTTCACTACGACACCCGTCAGCGGATGGAGAAAGTCAGCGCAGTGGTAAGGAATGGGTGGGAGAGGGATAGGATGTCAGATATGGCGCGAGCGCACCTAGCTTGCCATATCCCCCCCCTCTCCCTTTCCGTCCCCGTCCCCCCTCTCCCTCCTCCTCCGAGGGGAGCCAGCCGAGACGCCAGCGGCTTTCCCGCCTGACCCAAAGACCCTAAAACCAATACCTGGACCCCTTCCTGGGGTCCATCCTAACCCGCTTGCCGAGGCGGATCGGCGGATCTGGTCGTGGTGACGAGAAGCCTCTAAGAGCCAGAAAAGAAGGCAACCAACGCCGGAGGTGACCGCCGTTGCCTCCACTGGCCCTCTTCCCATCCCAGCGTGCCCCCGCTCTCCTCTCCTCCAAGATCGATCAACATCTGATCGGCAAATCGAATCAAGTCGGAATGTGCGTCAGATCGCACCGCATCGGTGCGGAAACGGAATCCAATCGAGTCGGCCAAGCCGGGATGCACGACGGCGCCGTGGGGATGCACGAACGCGCCGTGCAAGCACCGGGCCACATCGGATCGTCTGATCATCGGAATCGGATCGGATCGGGCGGGCCAAAATCGATATCGAAGCGGACCGGTCGGACCGAAACGGGCCGGGCCCCTCCCCCTCCCAAGACCCGGACCCCCGACATCATGATTTTGACACAACGTCGACCCCCAGAGGTCCCAACCGAATCCCCGGGATCAGGTTTACATCACGGTCCCAGGGCCCCGCACCCCCGACATCATGATTTTGACACAACGTCGACCCCCAGAGGTGCCAACCGAATCCCCGGGATCAGGTCTGCATCACGGTACCAGGGCCCCGCGAGGGCTTCCAGAAGCCTGAAACCGTCGAAAAACTGTGGTCGTTGTTTTTTTGTACGACGCGAGGAAGCCTGGGTTACTGGGGTCAAGAGTCGACCACCGGCTCTGGGGTGCGTCCTGACTAAAGATTTCGAAGCAGCTCCAGCCGTTGCCACGAGAAGCCCCCGAAGAGCCTAAAAGCAGAGAAAGGCTTGAAGTTCAAACCTCGAAAGCGAGGGGTGTCAGGGCCCCCCCTCGGAGGGGGAGCAGGCTGGCACCTTGATGTCCTCGCGGTGCTCGTGGATGGGCAGCCCCTCGCTGGAGGGCCGCTCGTCCTGGTCGTCCGGGAGCTCCTCGCTCATGTTCGCGTCGCGAGCCGTCGCGGCCTCCATCCACGGCGGGTGGAGCCTCGGCACACAGCCTCCTCCTCCTCCTCCTCCTCCTCCTCCTCCTCCTCCTCCTCCTCCTCCTCCTCCTCCTCCTCCTCATCATCATCATCATCATCATCATCATCATCATCATCATCATCATCATCATCATCATCATCATCATCATCATCATCATCATCATCATCATCATCATCATCATCATCATCATCATCATCATCATCATCATCATCATCATCATCATCATCATCATCATCATCATCATCATCATCATCATCATCATCATCATCATCATCATCATCATCATCATCATCATCATCATCATCATCATCATCATCATCATCATCATCATCATCATCATCATCATCATCATCATCATCATCATCATCATCATCATCATCATCATCATCATCATCATCATCATCATCATCATCATCATCATCATCATCATCATCATCATCATCATCATCATCATCAATCATCATCATCATCATCATCATCATCATCATCATCATCAGCAGCAGCATCATCAGCATCATCATCATCATCATCATGATCATCATCATCATCACCACAACCACCACCATCTCCATCACCATCACCATCACCGCCACCATCGGCAGCATCACCATCACCATCAACATCACGATCACCGTCATCATCATCACCATCATCATCATCGTCATCATCATAATCAGCATCATCACCATCACCATCATCATCAACATCATCGTCATCACCATCACCATCACAACCACCACCATCATCACCATCACCAGCACCCTCGCCATCAGTACCTATGGGCTCGAACTCGCTGGGGAGCGAGTGCGCGCAGCCCTTCCGATCTGCCCTCCGAGTCCGTTTATCGCACTCCTGGCGGTACCGACAGTGATTCACTGCAGAAGATCGGTTGTTTCTCTTGCGATCCTTGTGTGTTGCCATCCAGAAGAGCAGAGATGACAAAGCTAGCAGCACAGAAGATCAGCGGGCCCGCGGCTCGCAAAACGAAGGTAGCGGATCTGATCCAAGGCGCTGGAGGCGATCGTGCCGTCGCAGCGTACAACGAGCTCATACACAAGGATCAGACAGGGTTAGACCAGATGCTGGCTTCAACCCTAGAGGACAAGCAGATGCGAGCGCTCCAGAAGCTGCTCGCCAAAAATAAGACCTCGTGGACCCATGAGCACCAGCGGCGCATCTCGAGTGCCACCGCGGTGACCAACGGGAACATGGACAGCATGGACACCCCCAAAGGACGGGGGAAGGGCAACATGCCCGAGCCACAGCCCATCGCCCTGGATGAGAAGGACTGGACCGTCCCGATCGCACAGGCGAACGGTGACTACCAGTCCTCCGTCTCGCTGCACTCCATGGTTGATGCCGAGAAGTGGTGCTCCGCCCTGCAGCGCCAGAAGGAGCCGCTCGCCATCCTCGCCATTGGCACAGGCAACCCGCAGCGGCCCCACGCCAAGGTGCAGATCCCAGTCCTGAGGGTCCCGCACGGTGCCAAGGTCCCGAAGAAGACTTTTCTGGACGGGGTCATCTACCACTTCGGCGAGACTGAGGTTCAGATGCGCACCAACCTCGCCCAGCTCGAGGCCGCGGACGGCACCACGGTCTTCATGCGCATGACTACTCACGAAGCCGACGCCCTCCTAGTCAACCCCACTATGAACGAGGTCTTCAACAGTCAATTCAGTGGAGCTGCGCCGATTGTCACTGGTGGCAACAAGCGTGACGAGCTGGGCAGCACCGCAAACGAACGATGGAAGCAGGCTCGACGTTCAGATGCGAAGCTCTCCTTAGACGTCGGCCTCAAGGAGGTCATCAAGTCTACGTTGAGTGCGATCTGCCCCGAGATTGAGCTGCTGGACGAGCCGAGCCGACTCCCGCGCGCAGGCGGGCAAGACGGCCAGCGCTCCCTCGGGGCCCTCTTGGCAATCAAGACGTCTCAGGGGCTGGCCCTCCTCAAGTACTCGGGCTACCAGGGCATTACCGCCACCTTCTCACGCATTGGGGCGTCGCCTGAGAAGCAGGAGGCAGATAAAGAGAAGGCGCACACTGTATGGTTCAGCAAGACCATCACCATGCAGGAAGCTTAGTCACTCGCCAAGTCGCACGAGGCCGCGCTGGGCATCACGAAGGGCGATCGCGGTCAGTTCGGACTCCGAGTTCTGCGGGGCCACCCACAAGCACCCGAAGCAGCTACAGCAGTCCGCGGCACGGCCACGGCTCTAGCTCGCCGCAAGTGGAGGATCGACAACATTCCCTACGGACGCGCCACCAAAGGCCAAGTCCAAGATGCTGCTCAATCGGTCGGGTGGACCACCGAGATCGCCCACGTCGGCTTCGGCACCACGGAGAAGACCAACTGCGCCATCGATCGCTCCGATACCGAGCCTGCCAACATGCACTGGAAGTTCGGCACGCCCATCCCGCGGGTCGTCACAGAGATCACCCCTGGGAGCCCCGCGGCAGGCAGGGGCGACCCTGTTAACGGACCCGCCGTCGTGCTGGCCGCGGCGCTGCCCACGGCTACTCCTCCAGCACCGCCGTCAGGAACCAATCCAGCATCTATGGCATCTCTCACGCCGCCGCGGCTCGCGGCGCTCCGAGGCAGGCCACCAGAGGTTCCAACAGCAGCCACTCAGCAGGACGCCTCGCCCGAGCCCGAGACCAAGGACCCTATGCCACCACCTGCACCTGTTCGACTCCCAGACGCTGAGCACCAGCGCATGCAGGCTCTTGAAGCCAGCGCACGCGCTCAAGCTGCCGCTCTGGAAGCCATGCAGACCACCATCGCCAAGCAGGAGACCGCCACCGCCGCCCTCGGCGCCAAGCTCAACGATGCTGCCCAGACCACAGGAGCGGCCATAGGGGAGCTGAAGCAGGCCAACGTGGAGCTCAACCACACCATCAATACCAACCAGCTCGCCATACAGGGTAGCATCGCACAGATCCTCAAGAAGATGAACTTGCAGGATGAACACGCCGACGCCCCCGACAAGAAAACGCCGAGGACCAGGCAACGACGGGGCCCGAGGAAGGTAAGTCCCACCCTTCGATGGGAAGTACGTGAACGGGGACACCAAGATCAAAGCCGCCAACACTGACTTGATCATTTGCACAGCTTTGGTAGCGGACAACGTGCTCAAGTTTTCGGGCACTGCAGCGACTGGGATGGCTGCAGGCTTAAGCAATGTCCTACAACGTCGACTTCGTGGGAAGCCAGTCTGGGTGACTGCTTCAGCGACTGCGAGAGGTCAGCGTCTCAGCCGCACCCACCCAGCCAGTCGGGCAAACAACGGCGCCCTCGTGGCAGTTCTGTGTTCTTCTGGGCTTAGCGCCACCTGAGCGCTGCGCTGGGGCACCGCACACGACACTATTCTGATTCAACCCTGGGCGACGGGCCTGAGCAGCACAAGGTCGCCTCTTTGAACGTTACCTCGCTCCAGGCGCACTGGGCGCTCCTCACCGCCTCGGGCGATAGTGGCATCGCCGTCGCTGCCATCCAGGAAGTACGGCACACCCAACGCCAACAATCTGATATGGATAAGCATATACACCGACATGGGTGGAAGGCCCACTGGGGCCCTCCTCTGGAACCAGTCGACCGCGCCATCCCCGCGCAGCGTGGCAAGCACCAGCGCACAGCTAAAGGCGTTCAGGCAGGCCACGGGGGCGCTGCTATTGCGAGCCCGCTCGCCATGCCCATCGCGCCCACATCTTGCAGCCATCCTGTCCATGAACGGCTCCTCCAAACCCAGCGGTGGAAGGAGGTCTTCGTTCGGATGCCCACCCCGCAGGGCCGCCGCGTCACGGGCTACTACCTCGCCACGGTCTACGGCGTGGCCACGGAGCCCAGCGAGACTAGGTTCAATGATGCGCGGCAGGTTGCGGCACTTCGCGGCTCCGCTGCCCCGTGCTTCACCACCATGGACGCCCAGTGCGACATCAGCGACTCCCCGTTCCTTCACTGGGTCAACCAGGAGGGCGGGCGGAACAACGTGGCCAACGGGTACGCTGGCCACCACGCCATGACATATGGACGCGACCCCAACTGGAACCGCTACGACACTGCCGAGCACACCCCCAGGATCGACTACGTGTTCGCAAATGACAGCGCCAACGCGATGGTTGTCAACTTCCAGCCCATCCGCGACTTCAAGTGCCCAGGCCATCTCGGACTTGAGGTCACACTCAACGCAGACGCCTTTGACCACCGTGCTCGGCGATGGCAACGACCTAAGCTCTACAACGCGCAGGACATCCTCATGCCACGCGAGGAGCAGCTACCCCTTGGGGAGCACCTCGTCGCGAAGAAGGCGACCGACCTGAACGACGCCAAGGGTGGCCCCGAGCGCATCTTCGACATCGCCAACACCTTGGCCGAGGACTTCTTGGACGTGTGCTGCGAGCGCCACGCGAAGCAAGGTACCCGAGGCAGAGGCAAGCCGCCGAAGTTCGTGCAAGGACGGGCAGCCCCACCCATTACCCCGAGTCAGGGCGCTATGTCCAGGATCGAGTGGCAGTACACGAAGCTCTACCGACGCCTCATGGAACTCAGCTACAGGGCCGAGCGCGTTGAAGCTAGAGGACCTAGTAGCTACATCGACACTCAGCTCTCCCACCAGCTCTGGGCCAACTGCTGCAAGCAGGTACGCCAACTCCAACCAGTGCGTGCCAGCTGGCCAGGATGGTGGACACCATCTTGCTGGCCCACGGCAGCACAAGCTCGAGAAGCTGCTGGGCAAGTACAAGCTGACCAGGAACGGTACGCAGCAGAAGCTCAACGTCAGCGTCTCCGTCAATGGTGATCGAGAATTTCCACAGCCTGTCAGACTGGAGGACGCGAGGTCTGTGCCTGGGTAAAAGCGCAAACCCAACAGCCCACTACCTGTCTCAAGAAGCCAGATACCCACGACAGTATCACGAACCCGCTAGATGTTATAAAGCTCATGCAGATGACCTGGAAGCCGATTCTGTGCAAATCCCGAGGATCTTCACAGACTCCGACCCGGG